TTTGCTGGAACTTTTGAATCTATTATTCCCTGTATTTGTTCATGAAGTTGATTTTTAGCTGTTTCATCGTAATTAATAGACCGAATATATTCATTAATTGCATTCTTATAATCATCTGATTTCTCAAATTTTCTTTTATCTGATTCCTTAACTAAATCATAAGTTAAACCACGTTGCTGATATAATGGTTTCTTAATTAAATCTTTGAATGCTTGAGATAAAGCACCTGATGCAATTCTTGCTACTATAATTGGTTGGAATTGCTGTTTAAGTTCATCTTTAACATTTGCGAAAACCGGATCGAATAAAGCAACTTTAAAGAATTTCTTAGCTGAAATTTCAGGTCTAATATTTGCATATTGACCATCAAACTGGTTAGAATATCGTGGTAATCCATCCAGTCCCTCTTCAACAGCATTTAATTCTTCATTGAAATAAGAATATGGATTATGACGGTATGAATTAATTGGACCATTTTCACCTTCTCCAATGTATTGTTTAACAGCTTTTCCATTTTCATCAAATTGCATAGGATAACGTTCATTATATGCTTTACGTTTAGGATAATCAGATATAGTTAATTTATAACCATTTATGACTTTAATATTACCTTGACCATCAGTAACGAAAACTTCATTTATACCATCAGGTTTTCCATTTGGACCCGTAATGTCTGCTTCGTGTGCTTCCCAATTTGGACCTTGACGTTTGGCATATGCTTGAGCTTCTGGTAATGTTAAAACGTTTCTCATTTGTTTAACATCTTTTTGAAGACCAGCAACAATATGAACTAATTCTTTCATTCCATCAGGAACTTTCATAGTTCTATTATATGCACCCTTTTTGGTTGTCCCTTGTTTTAATCGAACCTGTAGAAGATTTACCATTTCTGTCATGTTTAATTATAAATAAAAAATAAAAATTAATTATAAAAAGTTAATCAAATTTAACACTTCCTTTATTTAAATCAACTATTATTTTTCCATGTTCACCTAATTGCTGATATTGTGTGTAAAGTTCATTAATGCTCATTGGTAAATTCACTTGATAAAGCATAACGTTCAACTGTTGACGACTAAACCCACTGAAAATGAAAAGGGTTGATAGATTTGATTTAATGTTTGTGCTTAATGCTTTGAAATATTGAACAGCCATAAAGAATGAACACTGAATGTGTCGACATTGAGTTAATAACTGATTAAAATATGATTTCTCATTTGTTATTAGTTTTGATTTCACCGCATCATCTAGAAAAATTAGTGAATGCAAAAATTCTCTATCAAAATTTGAAATAGAAAGTGTTTCAAATAATTCATCCCGTTGTTTATCAATAATTTTATCCTCTAATCCTTGCTTCTTGATTGTATTATATAATTCTTTATATATTAAAAAGTTTTTTAAATAATCTTCTGCTTCTTCTTGTGATAAATAAATAATTGGAATTTTGATTAAATGCTTTAAAGATTCAAATGTATCATCTGAAGGTGAACCTGAACGGTTGATATAAATTAACACATGTGAATAGGGGGAAGTGTTAGCAATAATGATAATTTGTTTTAATATCGTTAATGTTTTACCTTTATTCTGTTTACCAATTGCTGCAGTGATTGAATTTAAGTAACATTCAGAATATGGAATTTTCATTAATTTTTCCTTAGATAGAGCATTTCTATTATCACTCAATGCTTCATTAATCATATCATCTACGTATGTATTATATACTCCTGCTAATTCTTCATAAGGGTGGATGAATTTAAATCCATTTAATCAAAAATAAATTTATAATTTTAAACATTTCTATTCATCAATATTTCATCATATGAACTTCTATACTGCGGTGGTGTACCTGTTGGATGATATTTCAAACATTCATCCGGTGTCCATGTCCAATATGTAGTCCTAGTAAACCAAACCTGAGGAGGATTTGTCACCTTTGAACAGTAAGTGTCATTTTCACCCTGAATGATTGGATAAGCTTTCACTTGTACTGTAACTTGTGAGTTGAAAGTTTCTAATCCATCAAAGAATATACCCGCTCCATCACGTTGAACTGGAATAGTGCATAAGAATGAAGTTTGGTCTTTCCATGTTCTAGCTAATGGTGTGCCATTATCATCATTCAGTGGTCTAGTTAATGAGTCCTCGTATTCTTCTGTGCATTCATTCACTCCATCTAAATCAGAAGCTTGAAGCATACGTGTAAAGAATATGTCGCCCACTGTGGTCATCGCTTGATCGGGGAAGTTTCTGGAATCTATAGTGACCTGAAGACCTCGAAGCATTGGATTTTCTAAAACCGTTCTTTGCATTGCATTCTTCGGAAATGTTAACACAACATCTGTAACATTATGAAGAGCGTATGAGAAATCTGAGCTAATACCTTCAGGAGTGATGCAACCTCCATTTAGTGAACGAACGTCAATATGTTGAGCTGGAATCATGAATGGATCTTCCTTACTAGATAAACGTGGTATTGCTTTAACTGATTCTTCAATTAAACCGTATCCTGGCGTAATGCATTTATCCTCTAAAACTTCCATCTTTGTGCATGAAATAATAACGTCATCAACTATTGCGTCAGCAGATGTAGCGGCTAAGCTTGTAATTAATTTGGCAGGAAGTCCGATTTGTTGGAATTTGCGATCATATTTATAAACATGATTCATAATCTTTTCATAATTTTCATCAGTTATCTTTTCATAAACGTAATTTTGTAAATCAGCAACTCTTAACGTCAACCTGACAAAATACTAAAGTATCCCTGAAAACATAATATTTAAGAATGATATCACCAAATGATTTAGGATAATCATCGAACGCCTGAAATGCTAACAAATCATTTACCGGAATAATCATATCAAAAGTGATATCAACTTCTTCATTTGCTTTCTTGAAAACTTCTGAAGGGTCAATATATTTACCACATACTGAGTTATCATATTTTTGAACATTATTATATAACGAATGAACAAACTTTTTAACTTTCCTTTCTGATTTTGGTTTATATGTTGCAAATGCGAAAGATTCACGGGCGCAATCCATCTGAAGATAACCGGCATCACCTCTTTCAGTTTCTACTTCTAATTGTTTAAAGCTTTGATTTGATGATTTGTAACCAACGAATAAACGCATGCATTTAAAAGCGGCATCACATGTGAAAGCTTTATTTGAAACTAGAGTTGCTTTAACTTTGCGTTTAATATATGTGTCACCTAATTGGTTCACATCATGAGCTGGATTTGTAATTCTTAAATGAGTTTGTTTATCATCAAAATATGGAGCATCAGAGTCATAGCATGAACTTTCAAGTTCTCTATAATATCTTCTACCGTCATTCTTTGCGAATATTTCATTTATCTTTTCGAATGAATGAAACACATTTCCATTAATCGGTTTAGTGTTTGGCACTAAATAGTTAGTCGTCATTTATTATAAATAAAAAATCAAAATTAAAAGATGAAAATGAATTTTTAATTTTAATGAAATAATCAACTATGGCTGCAGGTATATTTAAGAAACTGTGGGATAAAGTAAAAAGAGGAGCGCATAAAGTTTGGGAAACAATGAAGAAAGGAGCAAATTGGATATTTAAGAATAAAGAAGCAATTAGTGACATTGCTGAATCAATAACGCCAAAAGCGCCCCAATAAGAGAAATATTAAATAAAGGAGAAAAAGTTTATCAAAGACTTCAACCGATACTAAGATAAAAATAATATTTATTTATTTTTCCACTATCTACCTCCTATTTTATTAAGTATTCCTTCAGCAATTCCACCAACTGCGTTACCTGCTTGTGCTCCCATCGCCGGATTACCTGCTTTAGTACCTAATACTCCACCTATGATAGTTCCTGCCGTTTTCGCTACTGGTGCCAAAAAGTTTGCAACGGGTTTAATAATCTTTTTATAAACCCAACCCGCAGCTTTCTTAATTCCATCCCATAATTTTTTAAAGAATCCTGCCGCCATTTCTGATTTAATATTAATTAAAAAATATATTTCATCACTTATATTCTAATTTTTATTTAATGATAAATGAAACCAATTTTAAAAATAAATGAAACAGAGAAGGAAGAAATAAATGAAAGTGAAAATGTTCAACAAAAAATAAATGTTGTTAAACCAATTACTGAAATAAAAATTTTTTCATCTGTTGAAGAATTTAATGACTATTATGCTAATAATAAAAAATTATTTGAAGAATTGACAACATGTAAATTGAATAAAATGTTTAAAGTTGATGGATTCAAAATTTCAAAAATAAAAGGAGTGGTTAGTTTGAAATCTATTCCTCAATCAAGAATCACCTCATTAATGAAAATTGATGATTTAACAAAAAGAATAAGAATTGAAGAAAAATAAATCAAATAATTGATATCATAAATTCAAATAATCATTAATTTCTTAAAGTTCAATGTTGAACTCATCAAATTCTTTTTAAAGTTTATGACTCCATTGATTCCATGAAATTAAATATTCTTTATCATTATATTTATACCTCATTAGCTTATTTTGGCTTTCATATTCATTTAATAATTCACAATCTTCATTTTTAAATTGATGTTTAAGATATTCAGGATTTAAACAATTCTATAATATTGCTTCCCTTTAAATCTTTGAATATAAACAGGAACACCATCCTCTAAAATTCGATAATCTAATATATCTGGTTTTACTTGTTGGGTCATTTATGTAAGAATAAAAAAATAAATTATTTTAAAATTAATATGTTAAAAAAAATGATACAAAATCGCTCGATATTGTATGAATTCTTACGTTTACAAAAAAAGTCACACAACCCATCCTATCCTACTACTACGAATTTAGATATTAAACTTAACCTTGAAAGTTCAGTCTATTTTTGATATGCACTCTACCACTTCAGGCAGATAATCACTATGTCATTCCTCACAAGCTGATTGATTGATATGGAAGCTTAATAAAGTACATTGATGTAAAAAAGTGACATATAGTTTTTTATTTTCAATTTTTTCATTATATGAGTTCAAATGCAAATGCCGAGAATGCATCAATATCAAGCACATACAGCAGTGATAATGATGATCTCTTGTTAAAAGCTGTAAATGAAATGCCAAGTAATAATATAACACCTGACCCGAGTTCTTTATCGCTATCTCAGGCTTTTCCGAAGGATGCCCAAAATAATACAAAATCGAATATGAATATTAAGACTGCTATAGAAAAAATAACAAAAATTACGGAAAATCAAAAATCAAAAGAAAATTCAGAGCCATTATCAACGAAAAAATCTTCTTCACAATCAAATGATGAAACTGTTCCAATTGTGTTAGATAGAAATCCACGAATTTCCGAAAATGTTTTAGTTCCTCAATCAAGCATTGATTCTCAAACAAAAGAAGGAAATGGTAATGATAGTTTAGATAATTTGGGTTCCGAATACGATGATCCTGTAATTATAGGCGTTATAAATTCTAATGAGAATAAAGAAACTGAAAATAAGAAAGGAAATAAGAACAAAACAACTCCAAAGTCGAAGGACAATTCAAAATCCGCTTCATCAAAGACGGAAAAAACAAAATCACATATGTCTACAAGATCTTCTCAAAATAAATATGAAACTAATAGTAAAACAACCAAGAAACAAACTGCTAAACAAAATACTTCAAAAACAAATGAAGAAAATAAAAATCAAAAATCAAAATCAAAAACAACAGAAAAATCCAATGATTTACAGTCAAAACCTGATACTAAAATCATTACCAAAGCAAAAACAGCAGAATCTACATCAAATAGAAAAAATTCAAAATCAAATAAAGATAATAAGCTTCAAAATGATGATTCTTTAGATGAATCAAGTGATACAACACCAGAGAAACTCTCAGAAGCCAGTTCTTCTGAAAAAATTTCAGAATCTTCTTCAGATTCCTCAGAAAGTGAAGTTCTTGATAGTTATTCATCAGTTAGCAGGAGTTCAAGTATAAACTCTTCAAATAACAGTGATTCTGATTCAATTTCCTCAGAAAATTCCGAAATCAAGAAATCCAAACGAAAAGACACAAAAAGGAAGAGTTTTTCACAAAAAACCAATAAACCTGAACCAAAAAACAAACAAAGGAAGGCACAGACACAAAAACAAACGAAAACAAAAACAAATAAAAAGAAATATCCAAATAGTTTCGAAGAAACATCATCAAACCAAGAAATATCAAATGATTCTGTTGAAGAACCTCCAATTCCAAAAGTAGAAGTCGATGATACTTTACCTCCTTTTATTCCATCTCCTTATTACGAAACTGTTTACAAAATATACAGATTTTTTGATGAAAAAATTCCTTTTGTTTCCATTTTGATTGCTATTCATCAATCATTTGGTGACGTGTACGAAGCAATTGTTAAACTATCACATGGACAAATTGAACAAGATACACGACTTTTTTTGAAGAATCCTGACCCTGAAGAACTTGAAAAAGGTCTGAGATATTATACTTAATTATTTTTTTATTTAAATAAAATCTGTTTGTATTTTTTATTTTAAAATCCTAATTATTTTAAGGGTACACTAATATTAATATATCTTTATTGTAGTTGCAAAAAAGTTTAGCAGTAATATAATGTACTATGTAGTGATTTAAAATGACTTTTTCCGGAACAAAATTATAAACTTTTTACCTTTGAAAATTTAGATAAAAGACTTAAGTGTCAGAAAGTGGTAAGGCACCCTTAAACATAGAAATTAAATCTCCAAAATTTTAAGGGTGCCCTTACACCTCTATGATATGACCTTCAATTCATATATTTAAGGTTAATTTTCAATGACGCTACACACAAGTGTCAAGAATTTGAATTAATTAAATACAGATGGGCAAAAGCATAGACTTAAAATGTTATCTTTCATCTTCTAGTATAATCATTTTAGTATCTATAGAATCCGGTGTTCAGAGAATAAACGAATTTTTATTAGAATTTTTTTGAGGTGGATCACAACTAGAAAAGAAGATATTTAGAATTGTCACTTTTTATATGAAATATGAGACTAGTATTGTATTCTTTTTATTAGTAATACTTTTATATTCTTTTACTACTTCCCCGATAAGTGATCCTATGTCCACTCTAAAAATAAAGATCAAACAACCATTCATTGAATGCCTTGATAAATTTCAAAATTTAAATCCAGATTCTAATAAAATACTCAAAATTCAAGGCATAAAAGAAGGATTGTTCCCAGAATATTTAGATCAATTGATTCCTCTGCACTTAAATTACGAAAATCCTCCGGTTGGTAATTTTTTTGGTTTTTTGAAAAACTCTGAACGTTTACCATATAAAAAATACTTTTCAAATCTGAGTTTAGCACCACTATTCAGAACAAAACGGACAATAGATATTGTCACGACTTTCAAAGGAAAAATAGCAATATACAAAGATGCGTATGCAAATCAATTCGGAGAATTTGTAATAAATAATTATATAATTAGACCTCCATATGATTCATCAGCAATTTATATCCGTGAATTTCACGAAGGCCCGGTAGTTTTTGAATGCGATAAAGCATGCGTTTTTGGTCATATATGGATGTATAATTTCGGACATTTCATTGATGATTGTCTTGCACCTTTAGCAATAGTTCCTGAAGATTTTTTAGAAGACTGTGTTGTAATTTTATCAGAACTTTCAAGAAAATTTGGAGAAGATGTTCTTAAAGCCATTGGAGTAAGGAAATATATTTATCTTGCAAACAATACATGGGTTCATGCTAACAAACTTGCCGTGGCTGTAGAAGGAAGGCCACATCTTATGCATTTTGGTATTCCAATACAAAAATTAGTTTATATGCTAAGAATTTATTTTAAAGTATCAAATATTAAACCAACAAAATATGCAATTATGAATAGAGATTTAAAGACGCGTAGGCATATTACTAATATCAAAGAATTGATGATAGCTATTAAAAGCAATATAACAGGAGTAAAATTCGAAGAAATTGAAGATAAATTGGGAACAATCGAATCATATGCAAAATTTTATCCTTCAATTAAATGTGTTTTATTGCCAACAGGAAGCAATGCAGTTAAAACTATTTTTATGAATCCTAATACTGTTGTAATTATTGCAAGTAATGAAATGTTTGATTACTCAGTCATATGCTCGATTTTATCAGTTCATGTTAAAGTAGTTTATTTCTTTCAATGTCAATATCATTTTAATGACATTACGATTGATGTTGAACTTGCAATTCAAGCTATTGAAGTTGGAGTCTATGCATCTATTCATGGAAACTTTCCACAACCAAAAGAATTCATATCATTTATTGATTATATGCCTAAGCATAGGCCAATATATGTCGGAGATTGAAAAAAAAATCTGTTTTCTGTATCATTGTAAAGTTAGATGAAGATTCAATATGATATTTACTTGTCAAACAAAACTCTCACGGATAAATCATTTTGCAATTACTTATGATATCAGTTACTTGTAAAAACTGTTCACAAAGGTGATACTTCCCTACATATCGCACTATTAAAATTATTAATTATAAGCAATAACGTAATATATGGAAGAAGAGAAAGAAAATTTATTCAACTATAATGAAAATAAAGAAATATATAGGACTCAAATTAAATATGTTACAGTTTTTATTATTAACTGTATGACATTCAACAAAAATACATGGAGATGTAGGATCGATTATAACAGGAACGTTCAAGAATCGCTTTGATTGATATTTCGGACAAACATAAATAGATAACTCAGATGAATATGAAAAATCATTTTGAATTCTCACTCCAAAGTAAATCAGTTTAATTTGTCCATTATAGTCGGCAAAAGCGTTATTTGCAATTATAGAATTTCCTGTTATGATAATAGTCAATGGCGAGATAGCACCAGCGATACATTTGTAAGGAATTGACTGAACTCCTGGTGGAATTATAATATTTTGGCATATAGTATAGTCAAGGCAATGCGTACTCATTATCTGGCATCTAGGATCAATCGAAAACGTGGAATCTGATGGCGTAATGACTACTAAACGAGTTTTATCTTTGGAATAAAGTTGTGTTTTGTTAATAACAGTATAGTATTCATTGTTTTCTGATAAATCTATACTAACTAAATTTGGATTATATGAAAAAGCTGCATCACCTATGAATTCTATTGATTCTGGAATCGTGATATTTTTAAAATTGCATGAAGCAAAGCAATAAGCATCAAGAACTTTGAGTTTTGATGGTAGTTCAAAATTATACTGGAAGCGTGTTAGATCGAATGCTCCAACTCTTATATATAATAAATTTGAAGGGAAAACTATCTTTGTAAATTTGTTCTGAAGATTATAAAACACATGAGTAGCGATTTCTGTAACTGTATATTGTTTTGATTCATAAGGAACTGAAGCGGGAAAAATTAATTCTGCTTTACACTCACCATTACAGCCTAAAACACTAGCTGTTAGGTTCTTATCATTGAGTGAGTATTTGAAATCTTGATAAGTAAAACTAGTTATTTGAGAAAATTAGATAACGAGTTCGAACACTTTAAAAATGAAAGTTTTATTATATTAATATGAAAATAAAGAAACATATAGAATTCGCTTTTAATTTATCACAGTTTTTATTATTGATTGTGTAGCATTCGGCAAAAATACATGGAGATGTAGGATCTATTGTAACAGGAACGTTCAAGAATCGTTGTGAATGATATTTTGGACAAACATAAATAGATAATTGAGATGAAAATGAAAAATCATTTTGAATTCTCATTCCAAAATAGATAATTTTCATATTTCCTTCATAATCTATTAAAGATTCTTGGGTTAATATTGTATTACCTGTTATGATCAGAGTAAAAGATGGTGGAGCCCATACAAAACATCTTCCTCTGATTGTTTGAACTCCAGGCGGAATAATTATTGTTTCGCATTTAGTTGCAATAAAGCAGTATCCTGCAATTGCTTGGCATCGGACATCTATTGAGAAAGTCGAGTCTGATGGGGCAATTAATAATAATTCATTTTTGTTTTTGGTATATAATTGTGTTCTACTAATTACAACAAAGTGTTGGTTATTCTCGGAGATTTCTATGCTCACTAGATTTGGATTATACGAAAACGCTCCATCGCCTATATACTCAAGAGAATCAGGAATAGTGAATGATTGAAAACGGCAAGAAGCAAAGCAAAGAAATTCAACAACTCTAAGTTTAGACGGGAGTATTAGATTAAATTGGAGAAATGTAAGGTCAAAAGCTTGACTTCTTAAAAATAATACGTTTGATGGGAAAACTATTCTGGAAAATTTGTTTTGAATGTTATAAAACGCTCTGGATGCGACTTCTGTAACTGTATATTGCTTGGATTTATAAGGGATTGAATCTGGAAAAATTAATTCTGTTTTACACTCACCGTTACAGTCTAAAACACTAGCGGTGAGGTCTTTGCTATTAAGAGAGTATTTAAAATCTTCATATGCAAAACTTATTATTGAAGAAATTTAGATAACTTGATTGAACATTTGAAAAATGACAATTTTATTATGTTAATATGAAAATAAAGAAACAAATAGAATTCATATTAAATTTATAGCAGTTTTTATTGACTGAATGGCATTCAACGTAGATGCACGGAGATGTTGGATCTATTGTAACAGGAACGTTCAAGAATCGCTTTGAATGGTATTTTGGGCAAACATAAACAGACAATTGAAGAGAATGTGAAAAATCATTTTGAATTCTCATTCCAAAATATATAATTTTTATATCTCCTACATAATCTAATAAAGCATCTTTTGTTAGTATTGTATTACCTGTTATGATTAAAGTGAAAGGGGATGGTGCACCTGCGAAACATCTTGTAGAAATTACTTGAACTCCAGGCGGAATAATTATTGTTTCACATTTGGTTGCAACAAAGCAATAATTTGAAATCGCTTGGCATCGAACATCAATCGAAAAAGTCGTGTCAATCGGTGAAACAAAAACTAATTGGGTCTTATTTTTAGTATATATTTGTGTTTTATTGATTACAGTATAGTGTTGATTATTATCAGATATTTCTATGCTTTTAATTTCTGGATTATATGAAAATGCTCCATCGCCGATGTATTCAACTGAATCTGGAATCGAAATTGATTGAAAACGGCAAGAAGCAAAGGACAAATATTCAATAACTTTAAGTTTAGATGGGAATATAAGATTAAATCGAATAAATATAAGATCGAAAGCTTGTCTTCTGACATATAATAAATTTGATGGGAAAATAATGTTTGTGAATTTACTCCTAATATTATAAAATGCTTTATAGCCAATTTCTGTAACTGTATATTGTTTTGATTCATATGGAATCGAATCTGGAAAAATTAATTCTGCTTTGCACTCACCATTGCAGCCTAAAACGCAAGCTGTAAGGTCTTGATCATTGAGTGAGTATTTGAAATCTACATATGCAAAATTAGTTATTGAAGAATATTAGATGAATTGTTTTGACAAATTTTAAATTTAAGGTTGATTTTCAATGACAATACGATTCAGTTGTCAAAATTTTGAATTTAGGTCAGATCATTGTAATTCATCATTTAAAAAGACCATTCATTCTCTTGTAAACAGAGAACATATTTTTGTAGATGATTCCCGTAATAAAGAGAGAGCATATTACAAAACATAATAGATCTATGAAAATAGTAGACATCCTTTAACATCTCAAGCGATTTAATTTATTTGTTTTTGAAATCAAGCTATTCTTGATCTATCACGATCCTTATGAATGGCATACCTTCAATTTTTGGATCTAAAAAGACGCTTGAATTAAAACTATAAGCAACTACTCAATATGAGGAAAAAGAGAATCATCAAATAAAAATACTGTTATATGATAATTTAATTAGATTAATATGAAAACAAAGAATTATATAGATTTCATATTAAATATGTTACAGTTTTTATTATTGACTGTATGACATTCAACAAAAATACATGGAGATGTAGGATCGATTGTAACAGGAACGTTCAAGAATCGCTTTGATTGATATTTCGGACAAACATAAATAGATAACTCAGATGAATATGAAAAATCATTTTGAATTCTCACTCCAAAGTAAATCAGTTTAATTTGTCCATTATAGTCGGCAAAAGCGTTATTTGCAATTATAGAATTTCCTGTTATGATAATAGTCAATGGTGAGATAGCACCAGCGATACATTTGTAAGGAATTGATTGAACTCCTGGTGGAATTATAATATTTTGACATCTCGTACCATAAAAGCAATTTGCTCCTATCGTCTGACATTTAGGATCAATAGAAAAATCAGTGTCAGTCTTTAAAATCATAATTAAACGGGTTTTATCTTTGGAATAAAGTTGTGTTTTGTTAATAACGGTATAGTATTCATTGTTTTCTGATAGATCTATACTAACTAAATTTGGATTATATGAAAAAGCTGCATCACCTATGAATTCTATTGATTCTGGAATCGTGATATTTTTAAAATTGCATGAAGCAAAGCAATAAGCATCAAGAACTTTGAGTTTTGATGGTAGTTCAAAATTATACTGGAAGCGTGTTAGATCGAATGCTCCAACTCTTATATATAATAAATTTGAAGGGAAAACTATCTTTGTAAATTTGTTCTGAAGATTATAAAACGCATGAGTAGCGATTTCTGTAACTGTATATTGTTTTGATTCATAAGGAACTGAAGCGGGAAAAATTAATTCTGCTTTGCACTCACCATTACAACCTAAAACACTAGCGGTGAGGTTCTTATTGTTGAGCGAGTACTTGAAATCTTGATAAGTAAAACTGGTTATTGAAGAAAGTTAGATAACTTGAATTTTTGATATTAAAATTTTGCCAAATTGAACAACAAAACAATAAGTAATTATATTGATCAGAGTGTTGTAAACAGAAATTCATCAAAAGTGACACCTCAGAAAAGCTAAAATATTGAATTTTTGGAACTTTTGATAGAGCACGTTTTTAAATATTAATTAAAGTAAATGTATATTTTGTAAAGATTCTTTTTAATAAAAAAATAAAATTTTGAAGAAGAACACAAAATCTTCTGAAAAATAATATCACATAAACTCATATTATTTTCTAATATATAACTATTTTATATAAAAATCAAATTCAATGATCTTAAAAGCGAAGGATAAACCTCAAAATTTACGAATATAATGAGTGGGAATATAATGCTTATCTATCATAAAACCATATGAAATATCAATTTTTGCTTTACGCCTAATTTTTGACGACAATTAGCAAAAAATGTTAAATGTTAACACTCAGTCCATTTGAATATGAAAAATAAAATTGACTTTGATTAAATGTTTTTATTTATCATGCAATTCTTCTTGCGACCAAAGATTTGAATAAAATTTCAAAAAATAAGATAGCTTAAAAAATAATATACGGTAGTGTTTACTAATAGATGAATAGTATATAAATTCTATTAAAATGGATTTGATCCAAAAAAATATATAAAATTTGATCATACCCAGATTTTCCTTACTTTTACCACTCCCCATGTAATTTCTGGGGAAAACGATAATTCATTTTTTTTATGGATGAATAGATCGTTTTCCTAGAAAGGACCTTATATCTCTGGCTAAAAAGAGTGTCAGATCCTAAATAGATTATTGATCTAGTGTACAAATCCAATAAAAAGCCTATTTTTTTGGCTTTTTTGGTGGTCATTTTTTCGAAGATCTACATGAATATGGGGAAACCATCGGATTTTTTTGGTTAACCCACATCTTCATGTAGTCTGGACTATCTTTCCTCGAAGGACCTCTTTACGGGTGTAAAAACTCATAAAGTTCTCAAAAGATTCATTCTCGATCTCCATGCTGAAAGAATTTACAATAAAAAAGAGATCTACGCATCAAACTACAGCCATAAATGAACTGAACCCCTAAAGCTCAGCTCTTAGTTTATCAAAAACGTCGAAATCCTTCTCATTGCAATCAAATTTTCTCAATAACTCATAAGAAAAATCGAATTTTGATTAAGCCGATGTTATAGGTATCACAAATACTACAAACTTGAGCAATATCGAAATTGCCAGCAAAAGTTTGAAATTGCATTGCTCATATTTGTTTTGTAAACTAAAAATCTGCTTATATTATTCATTAATTTTTTATATATTATTCATATACTTTAATAAAAACAATACTATTTCACCTTAAAAATGAATTTCATAAGTCAATATTATTTTTTGAAAATGTATCAATTTTCGATTAAAACAACATGAGAATAAAATTTACGCAAAATTATTTTAAAAAATGGTTTTAAAAATTTACAATTGATGAAGACTAAGATTGCAAGAAGTTTTGAAGTTTAATTTTAAAAAAAATTCGGATATTATTCATGGATCAAAGTAATCTGATATTTGAGTATCGGCACTATGCATAAAACATATATTTATAGTTTTTTTGGAGTTTTATGATTTTAAATATATTCAAATTTGGCAATCCAATAGATTTTTAAAAAATAGGTAAATAAAAATAGATTACATATGCAGCAGATTTAGAACATGAAACAAATCTTATAGTGACCCAAAAAAAAATTCATGATCCAAAAAAGAAAAAAATTGGATAAATTGAAATCAAACCTTGGAATAATGAATCATTATGTCGGATGTTTCCACTACGCTAGACCGGAAGTTCAAAAAAAGCCCTTGGTGGTTCTATTTAATAGCTAGTTCCAACGATAGGCGGTGTCCCCAGCTTTAGAGAGGTGGTAAAAGTAAGGCAAATCTGGGTAAATAAAATCGTTTTAAATTACTGCTTCATTTAAATTATAACAATTATTTTTGGTTTTATATTTTTTTGGATCAAATCCATTTTAATAGAATTTATATACTATTCATCTATTAGTAAACACTACCGTATATTATTTTTTAAGCTATCTTATTTTTTGAAATTTTATTCAAATCTTTGGTCGCAAGAAGAATTGCATGATAAATAAAAACATTTAATCAAAGTCAATTTTATTTTTCATATTCAAATGGACTGAGTGTTAACATTTAACATTTTTTGCTAATTGTCGTCAAAAATTAGGCGTAAAGCAAAAATTGATATTTCATATGGTTTTATGATAGATAAGCATTATATTCCCACTCATTATATTCGTAAATTTTGAGGTTTATCCTTCGCTTTTAAGATCATTGAATTTGATTTTTATATAAAATAGTTATATATTAGAAAATAATATGAGTTTATGTGATATTATTTTTCAGAAGATTTCATTCTATATGCCTATGAAAAGTACTCTCAAAACTAACTTTTTCCTAATTATAATTAAATCTAGAATATTGTATTATGCTTAGTATTATTTCATTTTTCTCATTCAATTTAGAATTTACAGATGTCAAAAAATTGAGAGCTGTCACTTTTGATGAATTTCTGTTTATTACAAGAGAATTCTCAAAAAGATGAAATTTTCATGCTTAGTTGAAAAAAGTGACAAAAATGACGAATGATTTATGTTCAATTCCATTTTTGAGTCGATGGCAAGACTTTGAAATCAACCATCTTGATAAGAAGTATTATGTTTCAGGACAAATTCTTTCCGCAGTCTCTCCTGTTGTAAAAAATTTAATAACCAAAGAAAAAGTCTTCCATTATCAACTTCCTCCAATACCAGGTAATATACAAGACTTATTAGATCTTATTACTGGCAAAGAAATATTCATTTCAGATTCAAATGTTTTATTTTTATTTTCATGTGCTTCATGTTTACAAATTGAAGACTTAATTCATCACACTAACGGCGCATTAGCTGCAGTTGCTGATAAAAACGAGATTATTACATTAGTTTCAAGGCTAAAAGAAAAAGATGTTGATATTACGAATATTTGTCAATTTATTTCAGCAAGTATAGATAAATTCATTAGACTAGAAAAATTTAAACGTATTGACATATCAATTCTTACCAAAATCATTGATTCTCCTGCATTAAATTGCGTTGATACAGGATCTTTATTTACTTACATTGTAAGCAGGTTCCCAGAATCACCAACTGAATTTTCTAAACTCTTACAGATCATTTGCAACAATTATTTGAATCCTATCACTTTATCCATAATTTTAAAGTCTCCAAACATAGATATTAACTCATTAAAGGAATCATTGATACCAGTATTAGTCAATGGATCAGGTTGTACATCTATTTTATATGATAATTCTCAAACAATTATTCCATACGAATTTGGCAAGGAAATGTCAGGACTTTTCGAGTATTTCCGATCACATCATGTGTTATCTACATCAGTTGATATATCAGCATCTTCTACTTTCGATGAAAACTATTCAATTAAGAATTTATTAAATACAAACAGATCTCAATACTTTGCAAGCAAATCAGGACCTGTAGAATTCATCCAGATACATATATTGACGGGTTCCCTTGCTCCAACTCATTATACATTGGTTAGTTGCGAATCTGGAATTTCAAATTTGGCTCCTTGCACGTGGACATTGTCTGGATCAAATAATGGAAAGACTTGGACACTTCTTGACTCCCAATCCAACAACAATTCGTTGTTTTTCCCTGAAAAAGCCGTAATTTTCCCAATAAATAAGGAATCTTGGAGAAGTTTCTCTTATTTCCAGTTTACTCAGTACGACTCTGGAGGAATAAAGAACAAGAAATTACTCCTCGCTGGAATTGAGTTGTTTGGTGCTTATACTCCTGGAGTTAATTAAATTTTTAAAAATATTGTTTAATTTGTTTAATATACAATTAATCTTTTTTATTTTAAATACGAATCAAATCTTAATTGAAATAAAGAAATTTTCTATATCATTCAAATCAAAAACTGAACTCATCATTACATTGATCTCTTACTAAGAATAGTAATATTTATATATATACATTACCAATACTAATCTCCAAAAGCTCTAGTATACAACTTAACTTTTTATATAGTGTTGAAGGGTCCACTGTAAAAATTGAAAGTCTCTCAAAATTGAGAGGCGATTTGCAAATAATCGTTATCGTCTTTTTTCGAAAATCCACTTTTCCTAGTGTTCTGATTAATATTTTGTGAATGTAACAATGAAGTATATGTTTTAATAAGATGATAATATATTCTATCACTTCAAATCACATAAAAATTGCAAAATCAGCGAGTTTTATAAGAACATGATTTTTTCCTATTTTTTTGCTTCTGGATGCGTGTTTTGAAAAATAGATATTTTCGAATTTTGATTTTATTATAAGTATGAATTTTATATTAGGAATTTTTTGACCTATTTCCAATCATTAATTCCTAAGTTTTTCTAGGAATTAAATTGAGAAGAAATTAGGAAATTCGCTTTAATGCCATTACATACTAATATTGTGATGCATGTAGTTTATATTTAAAGAGGCTAATGTCGGAATATCGTGCATTTTATAAAAAATTCAAAGAATTGACAATTGGATAGCACAAATTTAATTCTCCAGACAAAGTATTATTGCTTATATATTCAAAACATTATCCTTAGTTTTGAAATGTTGGCAAAAAATTTTCGTGTTATTTTTTGTGTTTCAGCATAAATTATGTATTTACTTATGAAAGATAAGCATTTTATTCATTATCATAAAGATATACCATAACAAATTGATAACATTTAAAAAAAAGTGTATTTTAGTGGGTATTATTCTGGCCAATGCCTATTTTTAAACAATTTAATATTGACCATATCAATAGCCGACTCAATGTAAAAATTTAGATATTATTTTTTTCATTATTCAAACTTTGATAAATTTTAGTATAATAAATGATTTTGTTTCGTGTATGATACAGAAATGAAAAGCTTAATTAATATCATTTTGCATTTTTTCAAGAATGTTAGAGTACATCTACATTAAAAAATCGGATTCGAATTGCGATACTGCATCAAATTGTTGCACATCTGATAAGGATCTCAAAAGAGTAAAGTTAATTTTTTTGTGTTTTTTTAAGTTTTGGGTCTTAGTAAAACACCACCTTGAGCACTATTTTTGGGATGACGATAGGCCTTATTTGGCCTTACAGTGGACCCTTAAGTGGGGAACTTTGATATTTTTTTCCACACCAAAGTAGTTTCACTTTTTGCATATGAACTCTATATTGATTCTGGCTATAAACTAGAGAAATTAAAAATTTTCAATTTTTGGCCCATTAAAAGTACCTTTTTGAAAATAAAAAATATTATTATTAATTATGTGTTATCTTTGACATATTTCCATAAAATCAAGTGATTTGGAGTGATTGGCAAAAAAATCTTGTCAGTAGTAGGATAGGATGGGTTGTGTGACTTTTTTTGTTACATCTATATATAGACGATGCATTAAAATATATTTATTTATAAACACATTAAAAAATTAACATTAATTTTAAAATAATTTATTTTTTATCTTTTATAAAAGAAGCTATATATAGATGATGTCAGATATTCCGCGATTAATTAAACATTGTTTAAATCCTGAATGGGTTAAACTTCAATTTAAAAAGGAAGACTGTGAATTATTAAATGAATATGAAAGCCAAAATAAGCTAATGAGGTATAAATATAATGATAAAGAATATTTAATTTCATGGAATCAATGGAGTCATAATCAAAGACCTCATAAACGAGAAGAAGAAATTGAAAATAATTATTTTCATGAATGAAAGATTCACTACCATAATGAAATAAAAAAATAAAAAAATAAACTTTAAAAATTCAATGTCTTACATTTTTGAATAATTTATTTTTATTTTGTATGAAATGAGCGTCAAGACTAACGACGTTAAAAAATTGGGATTCACAAATGAGGAAATAAAGGATATATTAGAGGAGGCGGGTTATGAGGTTGATAAATATTATTTAAGAAATTGTCAAAAATTCGCGGAGTTTTTAAATGAGTTTGATTATGATGGAAAAATGAATAAAGATGATGTTATAAATTTCTTATATCCCACATCTAAAGAAGAAAAACCTAAAGAACCTGATGTTTTCCCTGAATATTATGAAGAACGGATTAAAGATGATGAATACGATGAAATTGAAAGACTGGAAAAAATAAGAGATGAAATAGATGAAAAAATTAAGGAATTAAGAGAAGTTGAAAATGAAGTAGAGGATTTAATGAATATCCCAGCTTCAGAATCAGAAGTTCAGAAATCTCATGAAGAAAGATATAAAAATTATGTCTCAGAATCAACACAAAATTTATTAGATGGTGAAATAGATGAAACACTTTCAGAAGAAGGTACTAAATTTATTCGTAAACATAAGTTACAATTTATTGATAATGAAGAATACCCTGTATCCTACTTTCACCACCTTTAGATTCCGAAAAATTCAAAAAAGCTCTTAAAAACGTGACATATGCAACTAATACGATTAAGAAAGAAGATCATGATATTTACACAAATTATTATTTAAATAAATGCACAGGTGTTGATAAAGTTTTTGATTTATTAGATAAAATATCAAAAGAAACCATTGGAACCTATAAAATTTTGTGTGATTGTGGTTTCATTATTGAAGATACCAATAATGTTTCATATGAAAGAACAGCACCGAAGGAAGACGAAGTGGAAAGGTCTATACCATTCGTTATTAAGAACATAAAAGATATGAAAACTTATAAACATTATATTTATTCATTTATTTCAGAAAAAATGGAAGCAACCCATAAAACATCTTCTCATCATTTTATAGCTATTCATACATTCCTTTTCAAAGTTGTGAAATTAAATAAGACAGGAATTAGATTTAATGTATCAGGGTACGCATTCTTGAGTAAATTAAAATGTATTCGTCACGTCGCAGATGATAAAAATTTATGTGTTCTTAATTCATTTTATGGGCTTTAAAAATAAACTTTATTTTTTAATTTTTTATTCTTACATAAATGAACAAAAACGGAACAGCTAAAATGAATGATAATCAAATAGAGCAGAAGGTAGAAGGTTATTTAAACGCTTCTATAACATTCCTGATGGTGTTAATCCTAAAACTCGTAGAAGCTATTTAAATGAAGCAATAGATGCATATGAAGGGTTTGACATTTCATCAGAAAGTGAGAGATTAGCGAGAATGTTAAATGTTAATATTGATTTCTATTATTGTGATCCTCAACCAGAAGACGTGGACATAAATAAGGTAGACTTTCCATTAGTGGAATCAATAATGATAGATCCAGAATTTGAAACAATAAATATTTTATTAACACAGAGTCCATGTGGAAAACTTCACGCTGACAGAATAACAGACGTTGAAGCAGTCACCGGCTATAGAGTTTGTCCATATTGTAAAGAAGAAGTTTATTCTATCCGTGATGATCCAGAAAGGAAAAACCAAAGAAGATTTTTAAAGCATTGTGAGAAATGTAAAGAAAATAATGGAAGATTAATTCAAGACGTTCAGTTGCAAAAGACACAGCAACCATATGCACCACATATTACGAAACAGAAGATATATCAGTGGTTATTAGCTCATAATTTGCAGGAATATTATCAACCGACAAGATATTATATTACTTTTGACTTCGAAACATTAGAGACTAAAGAAGAATTACAACTTTCTGAGTGTGCAACTTTGAACGCTTACTTAAAACCATTCATGGTATCATCAACGGTTAAATTAAATGATAAAACGTATACGAGGAATTTTTGCTTAACTTCGAGTGATTCTTTTATTTCTGATTGGATTGAGTTTTTATTTTCAACCTGTTCATTAGTTGCTAAATCAAATATTGAACAATATGAAGAATTAATGAAGTCCCATACATTAAATGAAAAACAGAAGAAAGCATTTAAAGAACTTCTAGATGAGGAATTCAATAAAGTGAATATCATAGGTTTTAATTCGGGAAAGTTTGATTTAAATTTAATTCTTCATGATTTAAACACTGCAAAATGGAAAATAAAATCAATGCTGGGTTCTTCTTCTCAATTTAAGCAAATCATTGTAAAGAAAACAAACGTTCCATATGAATTGAGATTTATTGACATCAGAAATTATATAGCGGGTGGGACATTAGACCAATTCACTCAAGATTTCGGAAACAATAAATCACGTGTTAAATCCTTTTTCCCTTATCAATTTATCACATGGGAAAATTACGAAGAAGAATTATATAAAGAGGAACCATTCACTCAAGATTCATTTTATTCAGCATTAACTCAAGAAACTATATCAGATAGTGATTATCAAATATATCTCAATGATGCTAAAAATTTTAAGAATAGATTAGAATATTTTATTCATTATTGCAATAAAGATGTTGAAATTATGATTGACCCAATCGATAAAATTATTGAAGAAACATTTGTTTATAAAATTGATATGCTTCATAATCTTTCTTTATCATCGAATGCTTCAATGATTCGTTACGCTTTAGCATATAAAGACTTTAATCCTAATGAAAAATATCCTTAGGAAGAGATAGAATCAAGTTTTGAATTAACGAAAAAGTATTGGAAATATAAAATTGAATCATATAAGAAACAAGATGAAAAAGCAGAAAGGGATACTAAAAATAATGTTTCAATGGATGATTTTCAATACTATCACGATTTAATCCTTTCATCTAAATGCAAAATGTGTGGTAAAGCGTTTACATATGCAAATAAACCAACATTAGATAGAATCGATAATGAAAAACCACATACCAAAGAAAATTGTCAGTTAATGTGTTGTTATTGCAATGTCGTAAAATCAAATAAAGATGAAGATGTTCAACGTTT